TTTCTCAATATTTTATATGTTTCATATTTTATTATTATATGTACATTTTGATACACTGATATATTACAATATGTTAGAGATCATACATAATAATAATAAATTTAACATTTTGGCATGTTCTTTCGTTAAACAAGAGGTAGAAAATAATTTCTTACTTATTCATGCTATAAGCATGCTATTAATTATATGACAATTTTTAAAATTGTATTATTATTGAACTTTGTGATTACAATGCAGTTAGTGTAAAACAAATAATATATTTCTGTTAATTGTCATGTGTCGACATATTGATCTATTTGTAAAACATCCGCTTGTCGACAGATTAAAAATCAGTTATAGTCAATTGTAAATGTATTGATTAAGAAATTATCACAGATTAACGCTGTGTAAGAGGAAGACACAGTGAGCAAATATTTTAATGATACCTTAAACAAGGATAACTATTTATTCGAAGTTATTTCTAAATGGAATGTATCATCGTAAAGATCGATGAATTGGCACTTTCGTACAAGGAGGCACCTAAAAATATAAATAATTGTGTAAATTAGATCTTATTATTTAATTTTTATCAAAAAAAGCATTTTCATTCAGATGATAAGTAATTAAGTGAATAACAAATTACCATTGCTCCAATACGAGATAAATAACGGTTTCTTATACTAATATCAGATTGTGGTTGCAGAAGATCATCGGTAAACAAATCGGAAGTTGATTCCGTTGACAACAGCTTTTCTCTTTCGAGACTTTCGGGTGTAATTCGAAGTTGCTCATGCTTCTCTCTTTGACCTGGGGTCATATTTAGATAACCACCAGTTGTTACTATATCCAGTACCCAAATTGCAACAGAAGTTATCAAAGAAACTGTTGAAAACATGCTAATTATAGATAATTATAAACATATTACGATCATTAAATTGGAAAATAAAAAGCAGAAGACGTACTCCACAACCAAATCAAGAAAAACACTTCAAGCATGAAATATCCATTTTGATCCACAATTATTCCTGCTATAATACTAACTATAGCCAATCCTAGATTTTGTCCAGCTTGCGCTCTGCAAATCGAGAATATTATAATCATATAAATGCAAACAAGCTTGAATTCTAGATATACTAAAAGAAATAAATTCAGCTCCACTTACAGTCCATAAGCTGTACCGAGCTGATATTCTGGTGTAACAAGAGCAATTAATGGCCATAAACTACTTGCAAGCATGGAATATGCTAATCCCATGAGAATCATACACACGTAGGGGTCTACATATGTGAATGCGAGTAATCCATGAGCCATTATAGTTGCTAAAATACTGATAAATACCCATGATATATTTTTTCCAGATCTATCAACAAGATATCCTAAAATGGGGGATGCAACAGCCGATATAGAATATACAAGGGAATTAACTGTGTTTGCATTTGATGGCTGGAATGCATATTTCCGTTCAAAGAATACTCTAAGGAAATAAGATTATATAATACATGTAAATATGTATAATATGATTATGAAACTTTCCTACTATTCATACTTACTTTCCTAAGGTGATGAATGGGAATATTGCGACATAATAAGCAATACAGATGAAAGCTATTAACCAGAATATAGGCTTAAAGTCTTTGACATCTGTTAGACTAACAACCTCGGTTTCTTGCCCTTCTCCTCTTCTTAATAATCTTGCCGCACGTTTATCCATGATACCCAGTACACATCCGCAAATCAAAGATCCCACACAAGTTAAAGAAGATAGGAAAAGAATAATTCCAATACATTCAGGTCCTTTATAATACTGAGACACAAATTGATAGATTGGTTCCATGACCAAGAAATTCACTGTTGAACCAAGTCTTGCAAAACTCAGTTGCAAGCCAAATACCATATTGAGCTCTTTTCCTTTGAACCACAGTACAGCATAATTATTTTGAGCAACTGCTAATGATTCTGAACCAATACTGTAACAGGTATTAAAGTTAATTCCAATAATCTATCATAAGGAATACACTACATTAAAAAAACATACCCAAAAACAAATCGACCAAGCATCATAAGCCAAAATGCATTAATTATAGCTCCTGTTGCAAATATAAGTTGACCAATTAAAGCAAGTCCCATGTATATTATTGTTCCTGCTCTAATACCAAACACGCTGTCCAATAAAAATCCTCCAATGAAACAAAGAATCATATTTGGCCATGAATAAATAGAATACAATAGCACAAATCTGCTAGTTGACATGCTTAGATCAGATTTCATATTGTCTTGTAATGCGCTAGGATTGTCAAAACAAAAGAAGGAACCTGAAAAAATATTAGATTACATTAACTGATTTAAAAAATAAAAGTGCACCCATCAGCAAATTACCCTAAGTAGAGTCAGTGACTTGATTATTTCAATCATGTTTGAATTTTTGACAAAATAAGTTTTATAATTCGAATAATTGAGCGTAGCGAACATGTATCCTGTATTCTTTCGAAATAAGCTTTAACAATGCTTCGATATCGAAATGTTACAAAAAACGACGAAAAATAAAATTTCGCGGGTGAAACAGTACTGACGCTCTGATATGTCTTATCTCTGCCGCATGTGCAGCACGAAAAGAACATTATACCCAACCTACAAAGACCGTAAGAATATCGCTGAAATATCACTAAAATTGATACTTCTGTGTTTGTGTCTTATAATTCTTCGTGCATCCGTGAAAAGCTAAGGAATGATTGGAAT